TACAATAATATCGGTCATTACGTTAAATACTAATAATTGTACGTGCGCATATATACTCGAGGTTGTTGGAACTGTCCGGGGCTAGTAAGAAAGCAGGCGATGTCATTTTAACGCAAAGGGATCTAAGTGTGTCAAAATAGGTATTAACTAAGAATATCTCTTCCACACGAATGGAAATTACATATCAAATATACGTACGAAAGAAGATTACGTAGCTTTTATATAAGTCTGTTAACACGACAATAATGAGTATCAAATATGAATATTTGGATACCTTTCGTTAAAAAGATAGGAAACCTAAGTGTAAACACGTAATTCGAAATTAATGTACTCTTCTAAGAACGTTTTGCTACATGCTTATTCTTCTATTTTTTTCATGTAGCCTATGCTGGAACGAGACAATTTAAATTTTATTTTTTTCTTTTTGAAAATATAAGTGCCAATGATAGATAAGATCTTCTACAATTCCTTTTTTTGAATGGAAATGTATTGCATCTGAAGCCATATTTAAGTCTGGCAATTATGGTAAAAAGAAGCTCACGTAATTAAATATACGTAGTTAGTGAGTGCATTGATACTAGAGGCTCTCCGAATTATTACTAGAATAGTACTACTAGTACTATTTATATAATATATTTTCTCTACATATATATATCGGGATATTTGTTCTAAAGTTCCATATCCTAGTTTTGTATATGATTATACGGCGAAAGAGATATATATATCGCAGAGATTTCGTGTAATTCGTGTAATTTTTTTTTGCAAAATCTCTAGGAAATTTACAAAAAAACAGGATATTGTGGAATTAATAAAAATTACACAATTTTATTAAGAGATTTTAGTGATTTTGCAAAATCATGGGCTCTGTTAGTGAAATTGTGAATTAAAATTTTTATTAATTTATATATATATAAAATTTTATATTTATATTTTATTTATAATGTATATTTATTCCACAATATCACGGTTTTTTGTCGATTCTCTAAGGATTTTACGAAAAAACGAATTACACGAAATTCCTGCGACATATACATATATTTTTAGACTTACGATTTTTGCCATTGTAGTGTGACACGAATTTAATAATGGATTTGGATTGGACAGAATTTATTGTATCTTTATTAGTATCTTTATTAGTGTGCACACTCTGTAAAGCCATAGATCAATGTTCGCACAAACATCCAAATAAAAGAGAAACCGCCAAGGTACTAAAAACTCAGGAGGGTAATAATAATGAATTTTTGCGAGTCTTAACGATATATAAATCGACTTTCTCGCTAAGTATCCAGAAAACGTATGTTCGAAATCGAATAATATCTATATTTTTTTTATGAGCGCGGCACTACGAATCCTTAAACGATAAGCCGTCGCCTTATATACTTTGTAAATCGTATATTAAAGATACGCGAAACACATATGCTGAACGAAGCAAATTATTTATTTATTTGACTTTAATAATTATTTATTATATCGCTCCATATATAGATAAATATATATATCTATTTTACGGTAGTGAACGGAATACTTTTCTTAAAGTATTTATTTTTATAAATATCCGCGAAGAGCGATAAGGCGCTAATTGTAATATAGAGTCCACCATGTAAATCTCTAAATCGCAGCTACCATTTCTCGTATCACATTTTTTAATACGAGCCTTATCTATCAAAAGTGACGTCAAAGTCATCATTATTGTTCGAATTCTTGTGAAAAGTCAATCTCTCGATAAAAATGCTCGTGTGTGTGAAATGCAATTACTTCTATCGGCGAAAGTATACTGTAAGTTTCTTTTTTTCTTTCTTTTTGTTCGCTTTTTGCGGCTTTAACGCGCTTTTCCATATCCGTCTTAACGCGTTTTTTTTCTTTTTTGAGAGTTTACTTAATTTCTCATTCCTTTTTATTTCTTCTTTTTCTCTCAGAGTATACTATATTGGGCACACGGAGAGACGAGTAATAATACGAGAAAACGCGAACAGCAGAAAATTAACTGCTGGAACAGTATACACGCAAATAAACGATACACACACGCACTTTTTCACATGTATACGTACACACACACGTGAGGAAAACATACGTAATGCCAAAAAAGCGTATACTTTGGAAAAAATATACAATATATATACACATATCCGACGCATCGCGATATCCGTAAACGAATATTCGAAAGTGACGTCTCCGAATACCTCGTTACTGAACAATTGTCAAATATTGTTATACAAACGAATACATTCTCATTTATATATATAGCATACACGTACAATTGTAATTAATTATTATTTCATGAAACAATATTTATGAAATTGCGACAGTTCGACGGAAACCTCGCTGAAACACGATCGTCTCGCGGTGCATTACATTTATCAGCTACTACTGTATACTTGTTTTGCCCATTTCATCTTCCTAAACTAGATTAATAACAAATAACATTGTGAAACGCAAGAATATCGGGGAAAATAAAGAAAAATCTTTGAAAAATAAGTATATATTGTTGCGTCCGAGTATGAAGTTACGTTTGTTTGTGCCTCTCCGTACAAGATCAGCTGGACTAGGGAGAAATCTATAGAAGAAGAGAAATCGATTCTTGTCAATAAATCATCCTTTACTAAATAATGGAGAGTCTCGCCGGGGCTGTCATCGTACTCGGTCGTGTGACACTCGGTTTTCAATTACCTTGTAGAACAAATTAAGTTGACGTTTCGAGTCTTGCTCATTTTGCGGGTGTCCCCGAAAGAGCAAATCCTATTTGGTCTACTCTTCTCTCCTCTCCTCTCGATGTGGCAGTATTCATATCGCATCATAGAGTTCCTTTTTTAATTTTTTAATTTCGATAAAACGTGTCATCGTGATATTCGTACTCATCTAAGAATTTCCCTTAATAGGTTGATGCTAAATAGTTCGCTTTATTTAAAATAATGGTACCTTAATATTGTCTTTATTACGACCTATTTTTTTTTTAAGGAAATGTACAATAGACACGTGCATGTGTGCGGTTAAATGGCTTTTATTTCAAGTACAAAAATTCTTCGATACATACAAATCCGATGTTACTCGACACGCCGATGAGAATCGAGTAAGGTTTATCGTATATTTCTTCATCGGGTGGACGTGCTTTACGTAAAGAGGGATAACTTAATCGCGAAAATTTACGCCCGCCAGTATGCCACGCGAAAAGTATACGCTTATCTTACACGCTACTTATAACACTATTAATATTTACATAAAGAGACTTTAACGATAATATCACCGCTCTGCGTTTTCGCTTGATTATATGGCTATTGCACGTTCGTACAATAAGTAGACGAAATACGTTTTCATCGGAATGATTGCCCGAAAATAGCCCGCTTCGTAGTCAACAACTGTAGACGAGTCAGTTTCCTCAAAAAGGCCACTAAAGTTTTACAAAGATGGAAAAAAATCTAAGAGAAAATTTTAGACGAAAGTCATTAAAATGAAAGATTCTATTTCATATGTATTATTGCAATACTTCTAGCCGAAAAACGGGAAAACAATTTTTTTTAATGAGACGAAGGGACGGAATTGTGGTCGTCTTATTAACATCAATTCAAGTCTCGCCGTATAATTCTTACGCTTATTTCCTAGTATTGTCATTATAGTCCTGTATTGCAATATTACAATGATTTTCGTAGAATGCTCTCGTTCATCATCTTACAACAATAGTAAAGTTCGAGCCTAAAGTAAATTACATTTTGGACTGCTGTGCGTGAAAAGAGGGTGAATTAAAATATAATTTTTATAGAAATTTATTCTGCAAGATCAGGAACTCCTTTCTCTTAATTTTAAGCCGAGCAATTCGCCGTATCCGAAAATTCGTCTTCCGAAACGTCGCAATGATAATCTTAACCACTCGACAGCCACATATTTTCTCGAAGATATCCCACATGTGACGGAAATAAATAAAAGAAGTGTGCCATTTAAATGTAATTAACAGAATTATATATTCTATGTAAACGTGGAGTAAATATAAAGTTAGCGCGTTCAACTCTATAAATCTCTATACTGCCTGAACAGGTACAAGAAATAAAGTCGAGGTCCGATCGCACCAACGGATCAAGCTTAATTTAACGACTTGCTGTTTTTTTCCCCGAATTGTAGTCTCGCGTAATAGAGACAAAAGAAGTACATTTACCGAATCAAAGGAGACATTGGTGCAATCGGGCCTAAGGTATAGCTTTCTCACATATAGACTGTCGAGTGATTAAAGCGAAGCCTCGATCAGTCCTTGCAACCGAGACCGGCGGACCAATTGCAGATACCGCCGACTGGGTCGAAGGACAGTTTGTCGGGGCAGGTGTACTCGGTTCCAATCACCTGGCCGTTCACCATACGGGCGCAGCTAATGAATTTCTTGCACGAGTACGGATGCGGGAAATTGCCCTGGTCCAGGCAACGTACAGTACCCTTGCTCGTGAGAAAGAGTTTACTGTTGAGGAGGGACTTGTCGATGATGATCGGCGCCTCGTCCTCGTAATAATCGTAGTCGATGACCGGCGGTCTTCTGGGCCTCGTGGTCGCGTTCACCGTAGGCCTGTCTTTCGTCCGGGGTTTCTGACGGCTTCGAAAGTTCGCATCGTACCTCGAGACCGTCCTACCGATCGTAGGATCTGTTCTAGGTGCTATGGTGGTGCTTATCTTGCGCCTATCGACGTCCCTTAACGGCGTTCGACCTAGTCGTGGAACCTGATTAGTCTTTGTCGCTTGGACATTACTGGGAGGGCAAGCGGGTCACTGATTCCCATAGTGAGAGAGCGCGACGAAATGGAAAGAGCGAGATTCATTAGTAAGACGTCAATCAATGACGATGAGAGCCACAGCTGCACAGAGATTGAAAGACGAAGAGACGAATGTCTCGACAACCTTGTCAGGAATATCATGAGCACGTGCGTAAAAAAAACCATGCTGCCAAACCTGCCGATTTCGAATAAGTACCGAAGTATCACCGATACAGAAAACAGTTATTCCTGAGAAGGTCGACCCTTTAATCAGCCAACCTGGATTTAGAGCCTTTCAAAGTCGACCGAGGGATTCATGCCACGTACTGTCCAGTCTGTCGGTGATGACATGAATTTAAGTTTAAATTAATTAGTGATTAATTGATTCCCTTAGCAAAGCCAAATTGTGAATAAACATGGCCGTAAGAGAGAAAGAGACGAGATTGATGGTGCATAGAAGTTACGATTGCATTAGTACACAAACAGCTGACATTGATTAAGACAAACGCGGAAGAGATTCGCGTGTAAATCGCAGAAATCCGTAATCAAAGAAAGAGTAGCGAGAAAGGACAGAAGACAGATATGCTGATAGAAGCAAAGATAATGAAAAAGATTTGACATAATGAGTGAATTAATTGATTGTGGATGATGACGTTATCGCGAAGATTCGTTGTTTTTTTAAGAAGGCGATCTTTTGAGCGATTAGCATCATACGATTTGACGTAACTCGAGGAGCTGGCAATTTCCAGGACATATTATTAGGGTCGTCGTTAAACAGTTATCGTAAAATGGCCCCGTGATGAAGAAGCGGGCCGCGGGCGGTCTTGAAACAAATCGATTGTCGTTAGATGAAAGACGCATATAGCTACCCGATGTAGTCCGTGAAGAGAATGAAGTATATGATGACATGGGCTTCAGATTAAAAGAATTAGATAGTCGGATGGCGTGGTTTCTAACAAATATAATGTACCAATGTCCGACGACGAGGACGGCGGATCCGATAGCGTCGCCGCAAATTCTTGGGCGTGGATGCTTTGATCGGGCACGTCTGCATTCTGATCGTGCAAGACAATGGCCGGTTTGACATAAGATTCGGTGTCCTCGAACGCGTCTAAAAAAAGAAATGGGCAGAGAAATAAAAATTAAAATATTCTTAAAAAATAAGGACTAGAAATACACGAGGTAAGCGAATGCGTTTTGAATGAACCTACCGACGAAATCTATCCTTGGGGATAAGGTAGTTTCAACTGGTCTACCTCTACGATGAACGGTCACTGTATTCGTCAAGGTGTTGGTTAACGGGGCGATCGTTGTGAATGGCGTTGGTTTCCTGTGTCTGTTGGAATATCCACTTCCTGAGTTACGACTAACCGATCCACCGTTCGTCACCTATTCGAGATACAATTGATTTATGTACTATATAAATAAATGCGCACACCGGTATGATAAAGCAAAGCTTACGCGACAGATTCATTAAGATAAAGAAAATTTAGATAGATCTCGAGATTAATATCTCAGACAACACAAATATCTAGAAGATTTTCAAAGCGCTCGAAAAGTCCCTTCTTTAGGTTTTATCTTTTACATTTAAAGAATATTATATCTATTAATACTTTATGTATATTTTAAATATCTTTTATGTACTAGATGTACCCTCCTTAATTTTTTAAGTATTCTTCAGTCATCTTTTAGATATAGCATAAAATTTTTTTAATTTTTTGCTCACTCTTTTCATACGTTTAAAGGATCTCTTAATCTTTCAAACGTCTTTTGGATTCTAAATTCTTGTGGATTTTTGTGTTGTTTGGGACGTGTTAAGATATTAATTACTGATCTAAGCATTAACAGTCGTTGAAGATAACATATCAGAAAAAGTAAAATGGACGCTCGCAGAAACGCGCCTTTCGTAAAGAGATTTGTTAATTTGTAATGCCAGGAAGAAGTAGCAATAAAGGTGAAGATGTTCCTCGGTCCGTTCGCGTCCCAGAACTCGCTCAGAGAGAAAGATCAAGTTTCCAAATTCATGTTCCGACTTCTACCATGGAGTAAGTAGCTTTTAATAGTCAGAGAAAAAAGAGCGTCTTCGTAGGCAGGCAATATATCTTAAAATGCGATGATGATGACGTAGCAGCGTAAAGGATGATAATGTAGCTCCAGTTTCGTTTCACGAAAAGTAGTTAGATCCAGCGAGAGGCGATGATCGAGAGATCTTGCCAAACAGGCATTCAAGAAAAGTCATTAAATTATGATCGATTACAATCAGTTCTTTCCAGATTAGTCGCTCGTTGTCATGTCGTTGATCGATTATATTTTGATTAGGCGTCGAAAAATATGGCGATTATAGCAATCGAGTGAATGGTTATTTTAAGCGGTTGAAAGTAATCTTCATGGCACTGCGGCTTTTTGCATTGATCGTTAAAATCTCTCCAAGAAGTACACCGATCAACCAGAAGCAGATTTAGAAGAGAAGACTATATGTCGAATAAGGGGTATCTTCAGACAGTCAGGCGTTTTTTTTTTAAGCTTAAGCCGTAGACGTTTTTACGATTTCTCTACGTTTGCGAGAGAATCATGCCGAT